ATAACTAAGAAAGACCAACTCGTAGGTAGGTAATGAAATAGAATGTTTACTACCCGAAGGTACACTTGCTTAGCAATGGACCGAATGCTAACTCGGTATTTACGCGAGCTTCCCACAGAGCGGGATGTGGCACAAGGCAGGTTTAACGAGGTTTTTTCCGAGAACGTAGGCCCGGCAGATAACCGGTTTGGGTTTGTCTAGCTCCCCATATGAGACTCTGCCCTTCGGCATAGCCTCGTCTGGATTTCTCTCTGTCTTCGGTCAGAGAGTTCGGCAAGTACTAAGAGCTTAGCATGCGGCTAAGACGTAATGCTGTCTCGTTATTTAACCGAGCTCATCACAGAGCGGGAGGTGACATACGGACTGTTTAAAATTCCCTGTAACCCCTTAATAATCGGGTTTGTCTACTTCCCCAGACAAGACTCCACACTTCGACATTGTTCCTCTCTGCCTTCGGACAGAGAAGAACCCAGACGAAATTTCAATATCTGTGCAGTGTTTAAAGACAGGACGGAAAATGAGGTACCGGAATCCGAAGGCACAATGGAATAGCGAAAGATGCCTTCCTAAAGCTGAATAAAGTATTAAGAAACAGGAAATTTTTGTTAGAAAACAAAGAAAAGGGGGTTTAAGGTAATGAACTGGGGGTATAAGAAAATGAACTGGGGGTTCAAGAAAACGAACTGGAGGGGTTCAGAAAATGAACTGGAGGAGTTAAGAAAATGAACTAGGTGGTTAAGAAAAAGAAATGGGGGCTTAAGATAATGAACTGGGGGGTATAAGAAAATGAAATCGGGTGTTTAAGAAAAGGAACTGGGGCTTAAGAAAATGAACTGAAAGGGTTAAGAAAATGAACTGGAGGGGTTAAGAAAAAGAACTGGGGGTTAAGATAATGAACTAGGGGGTCTAAGAAAATGAAATCGGGTGTTTAAGAAAATGAACTATGGAGGTGGTTAATAAAATGAACTGGGGGCTTTAAAAAAATGAACTAGTGGAGTTTTTTTAAATTTGACACTCACAGGCAGAACAGGAATTAGGAGTTATAGCAAGAAGAAGAAGAGGAGGAGGAGGAGGAAGAGGAGGAAGAAGAAGAAGAAGAAGAAGAAGAAGAGGAGGAGGAGGAGGAAGAAGAAGAAGAATGTAGCTAATACTCCTACCCTAAATATTTTTTTTTAAAATAGGCGGCGTAGTGAAGAACGGAAAAAAATATATCTATATGATTTATTTGAACCGTAATGCAAGCTCTCAAGGATAAGCGGCGAGATTGAAAATCTCACTGGATACTTATTCACGGTCTATATTTCTTAAAAGGATTGCTATCGAATAATTGCCAGAAGTTTACATTTCCATTGCGACATATTACACGAAGAAAAGGGTTGCAGACGATAAAGCTGTGTAGTTCTATACGAAAACCAAAGGAAGTGTAAAAGACAAACAATAAAAAAAAAGAATGTAAAAAATAAAAAAGTAAAAACAGAAGAGCAAAAAGATAAAAAGACAGAATAAGTAATGAAAGAAAGAAAGAATAAAGGACAAAATAATAAAATAGAATGAAAGAAAAAAGAAAAAAATGAAGAAAAAAAAGAAAAAGAAAATATTAAAAAGGTGTAAGAAAAAAATATGAGAAAATAGAAAGAGAAAAAGGGAAAGATGAAAGAAAAGAACACGTGGTAACAGAAAGAAGTTTCAAGAAATAAGAGAGCGTGAACAAAGAAAGAAGTAAAGAAAAAAAAGAAGAAAAAAAGCATAGTAAAAACAGAAAATAAAAATAATTAAAAAAAACAAAAACGAAACAGTAAAAAAGTATAAGCGCCCAAACCAAAACCAAGCATCGAAATAATACGAGAATGATTTTCAGATAAGATATTTGGCACGACGAAGAGTTGGAAAAAAATAATGATAATAATGGCGCCTTAAATTCTGGACTGAGAACTTTAAGACGACGGCAAAGTTTCTCGAATGTTCTTTTGACGGCAAAACTTGGCAAGCAAATATATATATATATATATATATATATATATATATATATATATATATATATATATATGTATAAGATCTTAGCCTAAGATTTATTACTTGCGTTTTGATCGGAAATGTTTGATGCGTAAGTTTCTATATTCATGGTAGAAAATTTCAAAACTCAGTCATTAATTAATTCAATTAAGTGCATCTATGAGTAAACAAGATATTATATTACATAATATTTAAAGGTGACAGAACTATTTTCAATTCGGAACCTCAGAAAGGTAATTTGCAGTTCAAGCCCCACGCTCAGTTTCTAATAAAAAAAATTCCCGAATAATTCCATTTAGGTGTAAATGTACTTGCTTAATTCGAAAATAACAAAGAAATCTTGATAAAATCTATTGTTTTGGAATTATCGACAATAAAAGTTCGGACTCATTCGCGTCGCGCTGGGTGAAGTTGAAATTAATGCTGCACTCCATATTTAGCATTAGTTAAAATTACACACAGTCTATCTATCTATCTATCTATCTATCTATCTATCTATCTGTTTGTCTGTCTGTCTATCTATGTTTATACTTGCAGCACCCAGGAAAATCATTGAAATTGTGTTAATACAATGGCATATTCCACTGAAAATCTATTTTTCTTAACACACACATCCACCCACCAAGCCACACACACACACACACATATATGTATATATATGTGTGTGTGTGTGTGTTTGCGTGTGTGTGTGTGTCGGTGTGTGTGTCGGTGTGTGTGTGTCGGTGTGTGAGTGTACAGAGAGAGAAAAAGAGAAGGAAAGATGCACATACTTAGAGAAAAAAAAAACAAACGTCCTGAGTGTTCACAAAATAATACGTTAGAAAAATTTAAAACATGCAAATAATATGATTGACGCAAAAAGTTTCTTTGAAACGTTGGCGCTCATGACGCTCTACAACTTCCTGTCCAATCTAACCATGTTTGACATTTTACTATCCTCCCCACTTCCTGTTCAACCATCCATTTGCGCAAAGTTGTTTAGTTGCTTACACACTGTTTCCTCTGTCTTTCTTGCTTGTCCTTTGAGTGTCAAGTCTTTTTCCTCCTTATGTACCCAAGAAAGTTCAACTGTCTTTTTTCGGATTCTAAGTATAAGTAACCTTTCTGTTGCCATTTTCCTTAAAATATCCTCGTTGCTAACAAGTCCCTGCTTCATCTGTAAAGAAATTGTCTAGAACTCACAAGGACTGATTTTATTTAATAATTTGACACAGTTATCTTTGTTTCTAACAAAATTTTCCTTTTCCTTAATACTTTGTTTAACTTTTAGAAAGCATATTTGGCTGTTACAATGCTCCTTCGGATTTCGATGTCACCTTTTCAGTCATCTTTTAAAATACTTCCCAGATATTTACATTACTGTACCTGCTTGATCTTACCCTTCAATCCATTGCATGCATCTCGGACTGTTTCTTTAATTGATAATCAGATATTCTGCTTTCTCAAAATGATTGGTTAGTCCTTTCATTGTTTTCTTTTACTAATCGTTTACGACAGACTTATTTTGTATATTATACATTCAGTAGCCTAAATGTATAATATAGAAACTAATTTTGTCGTAATCAATTGGATGCTGTAGATTTACCTGTGTCGTCTGTTTATCTGAGGAAAAGCACAGTCATTGTTTGTGGATACTTTGGAAAGTTTTGTATCGATAAATCGTTGATTTTTTTCCCATCAATGAAAACTTTCTTACGTGCCTATGTAAGTTACATTTTTCCAGTCAGTACGATTAGTAAAAATTTCGAAGGCTTTTTTTTTCACCAATGCCACTAAGAAACCAAAGGGATCTACTGGGAATAGAAAAGAATAAGAAGACTTTATTAAGGAGAGAGGACAATAAAAAAAAACAGGCTTCAAGAAGAAAGAAGATGGCGATAGACGCTGCACTTATATTTTGAAGATAGGTGACACGGAAGTAAGTAACCGGAACTGAGTTCCACAGGCGAGAAAAGAAACTATTAAAATGGAACATAGACTTAATAACCAATCTCGTAGCATGATTGACTTCACGTGGCCGAGATTACAAGAAGGGAAACACATTCGAACAAATACTACAAAAATATTTATAAAAAGACAGAAAGAAAACACGTCACGGTGGTGAGGAAATGACTGAAGTCGAGATTCCAGTTTTTGCTAAGCTGGCAGAACGTGCCAAATCTTTAAAAGTGGTTGTGTGCCCCCGCTGTTCATCTCGAGGTCTTAAACAAAATCCAGAGACGGATATCCAATGTGATAGGTCCTGACCTGGCATCTTGACTCCAGTCACGTTCTCATAGATGTGATGTGGCTTCCCTCTGTCTTTTCTAGAAATATTTTCATGTCAATTGCTCTGACGATCTACTTTCATTAGTGCCTCAACTGCATGAATTTAAGCGTGCTACTAGGTTGGCATCACGACCCCACCTTCTTACTGTTGAAACAGTTAAATGTAACCGCCTCTTCTACACCAATATCTTATTCTCTTGCACTTCCCGAATGTGGAACTCCCTTCCTTTTACTTGCTTCCCTGGTAGCTATAATGTTCAAATATTCAAATGTCATGTCAATTGACATCTTCTTATGCCTTGATCTTGATCCCTGTCCTTCTCGATATCCTTTCCTCAAACACCCCTCTTTACTCTTGCTCCAACTGTCTGTAACCCCTTGTGTGCTTGTTTGGGATGAAATGCTAAAAAAAATAATTTGTTTCGTACTTTTCGAAATTGATTAAATAATATATATATATATATATATATATATATATATAGATAGATAGATAGATAGTTAGACTCGTTTCCTACGGCCTATCAATGTGGGGAGAGGCGGAGTTATACCTTTCCCAAGGGTATTTGCGCGTAAGTGAATATAAAGAACACAACGGGAACTGGAATCTCGCACATCCCAACTTACAGAATCTGGTATTTCTAGTCGGTCTCCCATCTAAGTACTAACTAGGCTCGACGTTGCTTAACTTCGGCGACTGTACGAAAAACGGGGTTTCAACGTCATGTGGCTGTAACCACATAGCTAAATACGAACAGACAGACATGCCGTAGGCATAGATAGATAGATAGATAGATAGATAGATAGATAGATAGATAGATATAAACAGACTGAGATAGATAGAGATAGATAGATAGATAGATAGATAGATGAACTAGGTTCGATAGATTAGATAATGAACTAGGTTCGGTGACTGTGACGGATTTCAGCATGACGTGGCCGTAATCAGATAGCTAAATGCGAACAGACTGACATGCCATAAGCATAGATAGATAGATAGATAGATAGATAGATAGATAGATAGATAGATAGATAGATATGAAATCTGAGATAGACAGATAGATAGATACATATAAACAAACTGAGATAAAAAGGTAATTAACAAACAGATAGATAGATAGATAGATAGATAGAAGATAGATAGATAGATAGATAGATAGATATGAAATCTGGGATAGATAGATAGATAGATAGATAGATAGATATGAAATCTGAGATAGATAGATAGATAGATAGATAGATAGATAGATATGAAAAAACTGAGATAAAAAGGTAATTAACAAACAGATAGATAGATAGATAGATAGATAGATAGATAGATAGATAAACACTCTTGTGTTCCTTAGACGAAATTAAGAAATTTAGTCATGTATGATGTGTACTCTACTCATCTCAGTTCGAATCCGGTAATCTCTGCTCCTGGATATGAGAAACGAGTGCCTTTGAAAATTTGTACGGATATCTGTTTGCGGAAATGTGGGGATAGTTGTGTGGGTGGATGAGTGTCACTACGAAGCTTATTTAAATTACCTTATTAAAAAAATGTTGCTATTAATAAACCAAATCAATAAATAGATACGAAGTAAATGAGTTTAATTCATTTAAGCAAAGTATTTAGTTTCAGACGATTCCGTACGTCATTAAGAAAAAGAAACGCTTTAGGTCAAAAAATAATTATTAATAAAATTAACGTCATTTTTCAAAAACTTCTGTTGCTAAATATTAAACACATGTGCACATTCACATACAACCTATGCACATGCGCATTCACAATATATATATATATATATATATATATATATATATATATATATATATATATATATATAGTAGATAGCGGCTCGGATTGAGGAATTGAAGAGTCGTATTAGAATTCTAGTCGAATCCATTACATTCGTTTATGTGCTAATAACCTTGGGAAAGGTATTAAATCCTCTTCTTCGCCCACCAGCTATGGACAAATAGCAGAATAGACTGGTTTCTATAGCCTTAGATGGCAACTGGTCTAGGAGAAGGACAACTCTGAATTCAAAACCTGTGCAGGGTCGTTTGTGGCCCGTCGTGTACCAGGTCTCTGTATTCGGCCCTTCAAAAAGAGTAGTTGCTTTTGCAGAAATCATTCATCACTATAAACAAATCATATGTGCTAGTGTCTGCCTGTCGGTTCCTAAAAACTGAGCTGCTTGACTCTCATACGTCGAATACGACGAGAGCCCACTACTATACATATATATATATATATATATATATATATATATAGTTAAATTTACAGATCAATTCTGTGGCAAGACAGATTGGTATAAAATGACAATTGGAAAAAATCTTAGATTTTGCTGACGCGTTTCATCTTCCGACTTTTTCAAGGCAAAAATGTAATTGAAATATTTTTGTTGTTATAGTTACATTAAAAATCCAAATTTAAAAAAAAAATCCCTTTACTATAAAGGTAATTTACATTAACCAGAAAAACGACTTAGACAGAAGCGTTTATTTTTTTAAATTTTGATTTTTAATGTAACTATAACAGCAAAACCATTTCGATTTCATTTTGCTTGAAGAAGTCGGAAGACAAAACGCGTCGGCAAAAATCTAAGATTTTTCCAATTGTCATTTAATACATATATATATATATATATATATATATATATATATATATATATATATATATATAAATATTTATAATATATATATATATATATATATATATATATAGGAAGAAAAATTTGGAAAAACAAACAAAAATCCATAAAATGCAATTATGTTGTTTAAAATGAATGAAATGTCGACGTCTGACGTTTCGGTTTAATAAACCTTCTTCAGGACAATATTCATTAAAATACAATTCAGTTCAATTTAACAAAGACGATGGACATAAAAAACAAGTCTTAGCCAATGAATATTGTCCTGAAGAAGGTTTATTAAACTGAAAACGTCAGACGTCGACATTTCATTCATTTTAAAAAAACATAATTGCATTTAAGGATTTTTTGTTTTTTCAAATTTTTCTTCATTCTGTCGGATCTATATCCATTTACATTTGCATATATATATATATATATATATATATATATATATATATACATACATACATGTGGGGTCTGTGTGTGTTTGTGTGTGTGTGTATATGTGTGTGTAATTGCATACATTAAATGCGTATTACGTCATGGTAGGGTACAGAATCAGATTTTTAGACAAGAGTATATATATAGACTTCTACCCATCCATTTCAAAAGAGCTACTACTTAAAAGTTTAGAATTTGCACAAAAAAAACACAATGGCATCACTGATGATGAATACGCAGTTATCTTCGCCGCTAGACAAACTTTTATAATGTACAACAATTCTACTTGGATTAAAAGAAAAAATCATAATTCTCGACGTTCCCATGGGAACACATGACTCAGCTCAAATTGCAGACCGATTGCGCATACTGGACACTCTTTGTAGAATGATCGACCATAAACAAGTGGGCCTTTACAGGGACGACGGCCTCTTCTACATCCCTAATAGAAACGGCCTCCTAATCTCTTGGGTACAATTTTTAGGTTTTAAAATTGATATTTCGTCTAACCTCAAGATAGTGAATTTCTTAGATGTCACCTTTAACTTCTCGAACAATACCTATCAGCCATTCCAAAAAAGTAAACTAAACTCCGATTTACATTTGCGTAAACTCAAACCAACCAAATTTACATTAGCGTAAACTCAAACCAACCAAACTCCATAATTAAACAAGTTCCCCAAACTATAAATACTAGAATAAATAAATTATAATCAAACAGAAAAATATTTAATGATGAGGTCCCTAATAGGAGTAACTTCAAGCAAAAACTAGTCTACCATGAAATTCCAGAAAATATTAAAACAAAGAAAACCCCAAACAGAAAAAGAAAGGTGATCTGGTTCAACCCCACGTTCCGTAAACGATCCATCTACATATAGGTATATACTTCTTAAACTTAGTCGACAAAATCTTTAACCAAAACAACCCTCTACAGAAAGTTTTTAACAGAAAAACTCTCAAAATTAGCTACTCCTACACCAGAAACATGCAGAACATTTTTAGTAGACACAACAGCCAGATATTAAAAGCATCCCAAGACGGCAAAACAGCAAGGGTAAAATTAACTTGTAACTATAAAACCGGAACCATTTGCCCAGTCGAAGCCACCTGTAATTCGAGAGAACACCAAGGACATAAAGACATGCATAGGCATATCCGCCGGAAATTGGAAACAAAGACTATACACCCACCAACATTCCTTCTCAAATATTAACCTGAAACCACTCTGTCCAAACATTATTGGAAAAATTAAAGATAATAGCCTCATCCTAATAATCAAATGGGAAATCATCTATCGGCCCAGAACCCCCAACAACTTCTGGGACAGACGCGATTGGTGTATACAGGATTGATAGTGGGGAGGAAATGTGTGAGACAGAGAGAGATTTGGAAATTCCTTTATAAAACTAAGGAGCAGCGACAATCCCCAACAGCATACTCTTTTCCTTCTCTTCTCAATCCTCACGGACATTGGTGAACAAAAAACTAGAATCCAAGCTCCAACCTCAGACCTCAAACGGAAAAAAGCTTCTTGGCAGCAGTACAAAGGAATAATGACGCTACACAACACCGAAGTATCTCTCAAGACCCACGCCAAATTGAAGAGGAACTATATTAGGATTGAGTACCCTAATAGTCAATGTCTCTTACGCAAGATACCTCACACCCGACAGAAATGTTGCGCCATTCGCGAGGATACATCTTCCTCACACATGGCAAAAGCCTGTAAGCATGAAGTCAGGTTCACAGATTGTTGTTATGAGAAGTACAACTCTGCTACCCACCCTAGACAACCCTAGACAACCCCCTCGGACAAAGGAAGCAGATCCCATTTCTAAACAGGACAGGGAGGCATACACCGTACCAGTCGCAGATGCGACATCCAGATAACACCATAATAATACTAACGCTTACAGCGCTTCTTAAACCCCACACCCTCGAGGAATACCTCGCCATTCGCAAGGAGGTCTTGGGAGAGTGCCAGGTATCCTTGAAAGAGAAAGTGACATCTGTTTTAGACGTTGTGCTTCTTCCTTGTACATGGCGAATAACTGGAAGGAGAAAGTCGGATGCACTGCGTCACTGAGGAGCACAACACTGCTCCCTGTCCTTGGCTAGGATCTGGGACAAAGGAAGCACATCCTGTTTCCGAGCACGGCGGGGAGGAAAAGGCAGATGCGACATCCAGATGACGCCCTCGCATTGATGCTTGCTGCACTTCTTATGCAGAAAAAAAACAGCATGCCCTCTCCCCAAATCTGGGAACTTGGAGTTGAGCTTAACTTCAAATAACAGAAGAAATATGTTCAACACCAGGCACAGACCTTCTGAGCTAGATAGAGGAAAAATATATTTCTTCTCTTCAGACATGGGGAAAATTGGCATCTAAAGTTCCAGAGTCCGGCTCAGGAGCATCGCACCTCTCAAGACAATACAGCTGAAAGAAGCAACTACCCCTAGGACTGGTCAGACAGCGGCGTAGCTAAAGTAAACGTCACGATATTGAGTCCCCCCCCCCACTGGGGCAACATGTGACACAAGGTCGGTTGTTTATTGTGGGTATTCCCGAGCCCGTGGGCTCGGCCCCAAAATATGCCCGTTTGAACCCCCATCAACGGGTTCAGGGCCGGTTTTACCTCCCCGAAGGAGACTCCGCCATTCGTCGTAGCCTCCTTCGGGTTCCTCTCCGTCCGGAGACAGAGAGTTGACCCGATCAGTCTGTTCAAAAGTGAACGGCTAAAGTAAACGTCACCCGGGGCGGTCCGCTCAAATGTCACCCCAATGACCTCGATTCACCCTATGCTGAATGGTTAGTTGTAGCTAAATTTTCATACATGCTCTACCTCTACTTTACTCTACTGACCGGTACGTTACTGTTTACATGTATGATCCAAGACAAAATCCAATACCACAAAATAATCAGTTCAAATCAAAAGCTGAAAACATTGCTATTTTTCCTTCTCACAAATTTTCCGACAATTTATTAGAAAATTTCTGACGGGGGGACAAAACTGGGGGTCATAAATTATTTCTGGGGGTCATATGCCCGCCTGCGAAACCTGTGTCCACCACTGTTTTCAGACTATTTTTGGCAGCTTAACCTGGTTGAAAAATTTTGTTGGGCGTGACATTGTGTCACCCCTACTGTGCTGGCACCCGGGGCGGTCCACCCCCCTCGCCCCCACCTTAGCTACGCCACTGTGGTCAGATGCCGTTCATGGTGGAGATGTAAAACAAGAGTCCAAGGCTACAGTTAAAATTCATTAAAATTACCAAAAAGAAAAAGATTGCAGAAAAATCTCTGTTGTTTTTCCTCATGAAGCGTGGATCAATTTTGGCCAGGCGGGGAACTTTCTCTTACCACAATACACAAACTGTATTTTGTTTTTTACTTTCCTTTGTTTGTCCATTTTGCAATTTAGATATCATTTACATTGGACACCGTTTTAACTTTACCGGGACCTCTCAAAATAAAGGCATGACACCAAGTTCATGAACGGTAGTTTTATCATCCTACTAATCTCACTCTCAATCACCATCGCCGGTTTGTAACTTTTAATACCTCTTCACTCTACATTTGTCTGTCTTATTATGATGTTATTAAAACATTTTTTAACGTAGCCATATTTTATACGTTTATATCAGTCTGTATAGAATCCTTTCAACACGTATTCAATGTCCATACACTATTGCCAAATTAAACCTTCACGTGAACACGCTGCAACATTGAAATGTATTTCCATAGAAAACTCTATACCAGTGGTTCTCAACCGGGGTCTACATGGACCCTAGGGGTCCATGTAATATTTCCGGGGGTCACAGGCAAAAAACAATTGTTGTGTTAATTAAAATAGTAATAATAATTATTATTATAATTATAGTAGAATATTTTATTTGTATTAAATTAGTTTTTTCATTTAAAAATAAAAAGCTTAATCGTATACTATTTCTTTGATAATTAAAACCTTAAAATTTATATTAGTGAAGAATAGAAAATTGTTCTTATGTCCAATAGCTATGAAGGGGTCTACTAAGATAAAAAGAAGGGGAAAGGGGTCCATGGGTAAAAAAAGGTTGAGATCCACTGCTCTATACCTATTCATGTAGACGAAGTATTTGCTACATTTCTTTAATCATTTAGAAATTTATATGTTCAGCCTTTGGCTGCTTTTGTCATATTTCATGTTACCCTTGTTTGTTTGTGGTTTCAGACTAATTTAGTCCTATTTATATGTGCATTTATTTACTTTTCTCCTTTTATCTATTGGCGTTTAATAAATCTGTCGATAAACGGGATGTCGTCTTCAGAGTCTTAATTGCCTTAAAAGCGTTTATCTGGCTGTCTTCAAGATTACGAACGCTTATGACACGGACACATACTCTCGGGGAGATATATATATATATATATATATATATATATATATATATATATATATATATATATATATATATATATATATATATTCAGAGTCCATAACTGGTAACTGACATCCATTAAACATGGAACGTGGAACTAGAAAGAAGTCTATTTTTTAAAGTTTGAACATTCCAACCACCTGAAGATGTCTGGAGCGTACAACGACCGAAACGTTGTAATAATTTGGGCGACAAAGATGAGGACAATAGTCCGAATAATGTAAATAATGAACACTAAAAATACCCCATCGACACAGTGAGCATTGCCAGTGGGATCATTGACAATATGAACGTACTAACCGAGGACCCCATGTCTATTTTGGTCTGCAAGGAGGACTTCTTAGGAAGAAAATGAGTCCCTACTTATTTTGAAACATGATAATTTCCTGTTTAAAAGTGACTGAGGAAGTTTTAAACAAGTAGTATAAAAAGTTGTTCACTACGGTAGAGACTTCTTCCAAGTCGTTGTTAATATCGGTGAGGCAGCACACCGTGCTAGCTAAAAGAATTATCGGTGAATTTTGTGAAAGGCAGAATATTGCACCTAATGTTTATGCATCTTGCATAAGTGATGTCATCAAGGCAAAGCGGAATAAAGTAAGTAAATTCATCGGTGATCTGGATGCTGAGCAGTTACATAATTACTTAGAGTTGGCCGACAGAAGAATGGGATGAATAAGACACAGAATCAAGAAGTCGAAGAAGAAATTGAAAAAAGGCGAATGATTTCAAGAAAAAAAAACGGAAAAGAGCCATGACACTGAAAAACCTAAAGGATTTAACAGATTTCTAAATTTCATCTTTGCTTATTGAGTATCCAGGTTGTGCATAAAATCTGCATGAAATACTCAACGGTAACAAAGTCGGCCGTACCATCAGACATATTTGGACAATTGTTGGTGTAAACCGTGATTATGTCAGCTACATTATTAGTTTTGTAGATCCATTTGATAGGATTGCCTATCTCAACGATGTAGTTGACAACTATCAATTTTTTTTAAGCGTTTCACCCCAAGCAAGGCGGGAAGCCACTAGAACGCAAGGGGTTACAGATTTGGAGTGAGAGCAAATAGGTTTTATATATATATATATATAAAGGATGAATAGAAGGATATGGGAATAGATCAGGGCATCTGGAGACGTCGATTGACATTACATTTGAATAGTTGGAGATTATAGCTATCAAAGGGGAAACAGGAAGAGGGAGGGAGTTCCATAGGCGAGAGGTGCGAGATATGAAGCTATTGGAGTGAGAAGAGACGGCTTATATTCACATTTAACAGTTTCGACAGTGAAAGGGTGTAAGCGAGATGCCAGCCTAGTAGAACGCTATAAATTCATGAAGTCTGGGAACCAGTGGAAAGCAGCTCATCGGGCAGTTACCGTGAAAGTATTTGTAAAAAGACAGAGAGGTGACGGCGCGTCTGTGAGAGAGCGACTGCAGACGAGATGCCAGATCAGGGCCAATTATATTGCATATCCGTCTCTGGATCTCATCAAGAACTTTGAGACAAACAGAAGAGGCACCGGACTATATATGACAGCAATACTCCATGCAAGGGCGAATGGTTGATTTGTAGTTTTGAAGGATCGACTCCGACGAGAAAAATTTCCTGGCGCGGCACAGGGAGCCAACTTTCCTAGCGGTGGACGAAGCTATTGACTCAATGTATATGTTCCATCTCAGGTCAGCTGTCAATATGAGACCGAGTAGTCGCAAAGAGGATCACTCGAGAAGTTGAGCGTCAGATATTCTAATGGGGGCAGGGATGGTTCTCTCTGATGAATAATAGAGATCAGATGTTTTTGAGGCGTTAAAGTTAACCAACAAATTCCTGCCCCAGTTCATAACCGATTGGGGGTCCTTTTCGTGACGAACGGCCATGTTAGTTTTGTAAGATTTGTTTTTGAAGCAGGCGTAAATAATAGTGTCGTCCGCGTAGATGCCTACTTGGGAATCTATTGAACAAATACGAATTTGTCCCTGTTTTGTGCGTGTCTTATATTTAGAAAATCAACCTAGCAATGAGGACGGCTGAAGAGGCAGTGGAAGATAAAAACGATCCTTTTCAGGGCCACAAATTATTCCCAAGAGTCTCTTCACTGTTACAGATAGTATCAATTTTTGTATATATTGTTTAGGGTGTCGGATTAAAATAATAAGTGTTTATTTTGGAAGATTTCTAAAACCGGGAATTAACTTTTGTTTACAAATGTGTCAGAATGGGAGAAAATGGCCGATTGTAATCGAATTTGTAAAAGCGACCAAAAAGTTAAGATTACAATCAATAGAATTTCTATTTGAGATACACCAGAAATAGCTTTCAATTAAAGCTAAAAACAAAGCTTCAAGTATGTTTTTTCATTTGTAAACATCCCTTTTAAACCTTGTTTAGTAGAAGTCTCTAGATTTATCACTTGTTTTCTGTTTAAGATTCGGGTTCTGGTTCCTTCTAAAATCTTTTTCATTCTCTTACACTCCCGATAGCTCCCATGCGTCTTAGTAACATTATCACCTTGCTTGGGATGAACTGATTATATTTTAATGTTTTGAGCCGTCAGTCACTCGAAAACATAGATAGATAGATAGATAGATAGATAGATAGATAGATAGATAGATGAATGATAGATCGGAAATGGCAGAGAGGAGATTAACTTTGACATGATGTGAGATTATTGTGAAAAGTAAAAACGTGTATATAGATAGATAGTAATGAATAGATAGATAGATAGATGATAGATAGAGATAGATAGATAGATAGATGATAGAAATTGCACAGAGAGGGACATGGTGTGGGAAAGATTATATTGTGAAAGTAAAAACGTGTGATAGATAGATAGATAGATAGATAGATAGATAGATAGATAGATAGATAGATAGATAGATAGATAGGAAATTGCACAGAGAGGGACATGGTGTGAGAAAATTATTGTGAAAGTAAAAATGTGTGATAGATAGATAGATAGATAGATAGATAGATAGATAGATAGATAGATATGAACAGACTTAGATAGATAGATAGATAGATAGATAGATAGATAGATAGATAGATAGATAGATAGATAGGAAATTGCACAGAGAGGGACATGGTGTGAGAAAATTATTGTGAAAGTAAAAATGTGTGATAGATAGATAGATAGATGATAGATAGATAGATAGATGGATGATAGATGAAGAGACTTAGATAGATAGATAGATAGATGGAGAGAGATAGATAGATAGGAAATGGCAGAGAGAGAGACATGGTGTGAGAAAATTATTGTGAAAGTAAAAATGTGTGAAGATAGATAGATAGATAGATAGATAGATAGATAGATAGATAGATATTGATCGAGTTGAATCCAGAGAGATAGCGGGGAGATTGAGAAAATTAGTCAACAATCGTCACTATATTTATTTTACTTACATAATAAAGTTGCTAGGTACGATGCTGAAAAACCATTATTGAATCCAATAAATATAAGTTGACCCAACACATTTTCAGCTGATTCATCTACGTCAACCGGACGGTAGCAAAGTAAATGGTCGTTCCTGACTCCGATTGGCTGGCTGGACTTCAAGCTACAGCCAATTCGCGGAGCAATATGAAAATTTGGGCAACTCATTTGAAATTGTGGTTTCATCTTTGTTTATTCAATTTTTTTTTAATTTCCTTCTCACTTTGCACGTGATATTCTGGGAACTCCATTATGCGATGCGCTATGGCTAAGTCTATTACTAGAATAATGAAGACGGAATAAGGTAATTCTGTCCTTATACCAGACTCCTCCTCCTCCTCCTCTTTCTTCTTCTTCTTCCTCCTCCTCCTCCTCTTTCTTCTTCTTCTTCCTTCTCCTCCTCCTCCTTCTTCTTCTTCCTCCTCCTCCACCTTCTTCTTCTTCCTCCTCCTCCTCCTCCTTCTTCTTCTTCTTCTCCTCCTCCTCTTCCTCCACCTTCTTCTTCCTCCTCCTCCTCCTTCTTCCTCCTCCTCCACCTTCTTCTTCTTCCTCCTCCTCCTCCTTTTTCTTCTTCTTCTTCTTTTTCTTCTTCTTCCTCCTCCTCCTTCTACTTCTTCCTCCTTCTCCACCTTCTTCTTTCTATGTGTCAGGCCGCTTCAGGACGTGGGTGATCATGCCCCTACACAGCTTCTTATCATCTTTATCTCTTCGAATTGTACCCTATCTGTTTCTACCATCCATTCACGCAAATTTCTTAAGATAGTTACTCGATGTTTTCTTGTGTCACTCTTTGTGAGTGTCAAATTCGCCAAGCTTTTTTCCTCGTTATGTCTCCAAGAAATTTCAACTGTATCTTATAAACATGTGACCTGTTTATATTTTCCTTAAAACTTACTAGTTTGCTTACACGTTTCATCTATGGCATCCTCAGTATCCTTCTGCAGAGCCATATTTCGATTGCCTCAAGTCTGCTCTTCATCTGTGAGGAAACTGTCCAGCAGTAACTGCCATCTATTAACTAACAGCTCAGCACTCATTTCTTTGTTTCTAACGAAATGTATTGTTTTCTTTACACTTTGCTTTGCTTTTGGAAGGCATCTTTCGACATTCCAACGTAACTTCGGATTTCGGTATCACATTTTTTTTCTTGATTTTACTATCTTCGATTTGTTGCTATTCCCGATTAAACTCCATAACGACGGCTGCAGTGAGTTCTATCTTTGTCCATGCTCCATAATTGTAACCTTGTACCAATCTTAGTAATATGAGAGGAAGTCTTGCTGTGGAGTAATGGTTTGCAAGCCTGCTTAGCATTTTGCTCGGCGTCTAAAATATGTTTAATCAACACTTGTAGGCTTTAATGAATTAAACTAAAATATACTAAGTACTCTCCGTTGTTGAGTAGTATTTAACAACTTCTAAAGACTATAACTTGATACCAGCTGAGCTCCCAACGTATTTGGCCTTGTGTCAGACATTACTAAGCTTAATACAACACTTATAATATTAATGAGTTAGAGTTGATGCAAAATTTCCCGAATTTAGTAGAAATTATTTTGGTTAAGTTTCTCAGTTCTTCATTTCTTGTACAACCAGACAAAAAAAAAGTCATCTATGATAATTAGTGCCAAAACAAGTTTTTCATTTAGTCCTCTAGTTAAATGCTTTTGATATATACTAATATCCATTAAACTATATTTTTACAATGTAACTAGAATCGACGTAAAATAGATAATTTTCAAATTGATTGTCCAATGCGTACAAAAGACCGGAAGTACATTATTTTCAAATTCTTAATGTTGTAATCAACTCACGTTCAGTTTTGATGAGCACCTATTGGTTGTGATCTAAAGATTGAAATCGGCAAGATATTCGACGGCCTAGACTTATCGATACAAAAAATAAATAAAGGTTTTCCTTTCAAACAAAGAACCAGCAGAAAGTCTTATGTTACAACAAATCTAGATACTCACAGTAAATTGTTTTTTTTTTTCCTTTATTTCTACTACGACGACTAACCATAAGGTAATGTGTTTGTTCTATCTTTCCATTTTTAATTTCTAGTAAAGAAAGGGCTGTCCACCATAAAACTGTAAGTTATGGTTTCCGTCTCCTACTGCTGCAGAAGAAGACTTACCCGCTGTCGACGAAGTTTCAAGAAATATTAAGCCCATGCCCGAATGGGCCTTACTCCCAGGCAGTGCTTCTCCTTCGCGAGAGGGCTGGGTTTATTATCCAGCGCCTGAGGCGTCCCCCCAAAAGGGAGAGTGCCGAGAGAGCATGGGCAATTTTTCCACAGTGTTGTTGTTAAACCAAATTTAAACCTCGACCTTGTGTCACATTTGTTAGCGACGTGGGCGCGATGAAAAATACATAATCCTGCAGAAGTGTTACCAATGCGGAAACATTTCTCTAGATTCTAACTCCTAAACCAGTGAGGACTGTTATCAAATGCAAAACATGTTTTAGACTAATATCTTGAAATAGATTCAATGGGTGCTGCTAAAACCTCTCAGTTTTGGTTTTTTTTTTTACATGGACGCTACAACACCTGACATTTCTTTTGTTACACCATCTACGAGTAGATTTTTTGTTAACCTTAGAGAAAAAATCAGCATGATATTCTCGTCGGTTAATGTTTAGAAACTCTGAGCTTTTATGGTGGTTTCCTAAGAATAGCTTAGAAATGTCCCAAGGCCGAAAATATGGGGTACTCAGTCAGGATCGAACTCACTACTTAGCCCTTATTAATCTTACGAGACAATCTTGCTAGCCATTACACTACGTCGAAATGCCCCTCTGCGGCTTTTATGTACGAAGGCTTGTACTAAAAATTAGCGTTGTCTTTTGTATTATCGCCAACTGACAAAATTTCACGGATTTCGAGATTAAAAAAATGAAAATAAACTGAAGAAAGGTAATTTAATTTGACTGCCGCAGAATTAATATTAATTACGTTTTTGTTTTCAATTATGAAGGTTTTGCTAGAATACTTTACCAGAAGAAAAAATAGATTGTTACATAAATTCGTTCGCTTATAACTTATTTTAATACTTATTACCTGTGAATAGTCCTGATGAATCATTAGACAATGTAACCCCTTCATTGTTTACAACCTCCTGACAACGATCCATTATCCGTTCAATGCATCGACAACAGAAATCACTAGATTTTGAATCAGAAAATCCACATCGTTGCTGAATAAAACACCTCTCAAACTGTCGAAAGGTACCGAAAAGTGTTGCAATTTTTTGGGTACGTAAGTACTAGTGAGCCAAATGACTTGGCTCATTTTATAGTCCACCAAGAGAAGGATTAACCAATCAGAAGACGTAGAATATTCAATCAGTCGTCTATAAAGGCGGCCATTTTGTTTACTCTCTCCGAATGTCCAGTGCCAACTTGTCAGGCGAAGAGGAACAGAAGGAAGAACTACTCTGCTACTTTACCGGGATATCGACTGCTAACCTGAACTACGCTTCCCTACTGTCTTCGAAATATTCACTGCTAACCTCTGGATTCTATGCTCAAAGACGACCGTCATCATGAACAACAAAAAGGTGGTAGTCTGAAATCAGGAGAATATGGTGAGTTTGGCAGAACTTCTCAGTCGAGCTCTTTAATTGCATGTTTGATCATGTTAGCCAAGTGAGGTCAATCACTGTCATGTTAAATAATGATGCCATATCTCTGGTCAGGTCTTGTCAGCTGAATTGCCTCGTTGATTTTTTGTTCATTTATTCAACATACAGCTTAGTATTGACCGTTTGGTTGATTTAAAGAATTTTATACCATTCTGTCGGTAATGAAGTCTTCTTCGCACACAGCAAAAACGTCTCTAGCAGTTTTGGCAGAACTGTAACCTTGACTAAAAGAAAAGAGAAGATGTTGTCGAACATGTTCATTCTTATCTACTTGGCATTCCATTTCAAATAAAATTTCAGTAACGTTAGTCAACAGTTTCTCAAAATGACCAGAGTTACTAAGAAGCAAAAAGCGGTACAAAAGATTTTTTTGAGATCATTCGCAGGACATCAGAAAAAAAACGAACGAATATGTGTAACAACCTAACAGGTTATTGCGGCATATATATGAAGAAAAATATACGGAAAAACAAACAAAAATCCTAATATGCAATTATGCTGTTTTAATGTTAATATAATGTCAACGTCGGACGTTTCGTTCTAATAGACTATCTTCAGGACATATTCATAAAACATAATTAACATTAGACTATATTCAATTCAACATGAAAAAGACGATGGACACAAGAGCAAGACTAATCCAAACAGATAACTGAATTTTTTTTTATAAGATCAGCGTTCCGTTTTAATATGATCACGTCGTCGTCACGTGAGCGATGTTGTGAAAAAACGTATTCGAAGATGATTTCAATATATTAGATAAGCTCGATTGAACGATTTGATTATTATTATTCCAACGAATCTTTCTGAAAAATTGTTGAACTTAAAAAGGTTCATTAAAAGAATGCTTGCCACCATTCTCAAAGATATATATATATATATGAAAATATATAGAAAATAGGAAGGAACTGGTTGGGTAAATAATCCAAAGTCCCTTAGTATTTTAGTTATTATTTTTAAAAATAGTGCTCGATACAAAAGAGAGCATAAATATAATTATTTATTTAAAAATATGATTCCAAATCACTACATAAAGGTCTCATGTTTCAAAACAAAGCCGAAAACTATATATTGTTTTCGGCTTTGTTTTGAAACATGAGACCTCTTATGTTGATTTGGAATCATATTTTTAAATAAATATATATATATATATATATATATATATATATATATATATATATAACTATAAAACGACAATTGGAATTAAAGAAAACCACGAACAAATAGACAATGAAAACAAATCTCGTCAAAAAGAAAAGATAACAAAATAGAAAAGAAAAGGCTGATCAAAAGATATACTGCCTACGCAATAACCTAAAGTGCTCAATGTCTAAATGCAATCAACTAAGACAGAGCAGTAATCCCAACCGAAGATACTCTGTTCAAATCGCTACTCTCAGTTTCTCGCAATGTGATTGGCAAGCGACAAGAACGTAAATTAAAAAAAAAAGAGAAAAACACTTAAATGCAACCAGGGAAGAAAGAGAATAAACGTAAACAACAGTCACCCACACGGAGGGGGAG